GTACCCATAAACCCACAACTCATCGCCTGTGATCACGGTGTTAAGAAAGTTGGGGTTACTGTTTGTATTGTCCAGCATGTCCTGTGCGATTTCCAGGCGGCGTTGCTTCTCCTCCATTGTTAGCAGTTTCGGTATGAATTTCGTGGACACTCTCCTCATGCCCAAATCCTCGGTCAAAATTGAATGTACTGATCCAGTGCTTACCCCTATCTCGTTCACAAGTTGTCAGACTGTGATAACGACGGTCCTCCGTGACCAAAGGCCTTACTTGCTCAATGACATTCTCATTTCGGCTTGTTGAGGGTCTGCATGAACGCGGTTCGCTGTCCACTGATGTGCGGCCATCTTTGAAGCGGTTGTACCACTCCTTTATGTGTGAGTTGCTCATGGCATCGTCCCTGAAAGCCTGTTGAATCTTGCGAATGGTTTCCACTTTGGTATAGCCAAGCTTTTGGCAAAATTTGATGCAATATCGCTGCTCATGTTGTTCTGTCATTATACACCTTACTGGAATCCGACGAGTGCTCACTACATGTCCACACTCATAGGCCAACTGCCAGCGACTGACACATTCTGCAGGCGGGAAAAAATCATGACTGTGCATGAATGTCCCCTCCACATCTCCACCGAAGTGAGCCTTCCGTGCTTCATTGGTTTACATGGGAAAAAAGAATGTTCGATACTTTTTGAACACTTGGTTTTTTCTCAGATGTTAAGAATCTATATAGATGAATAGACAGATGGGGAGCATTTATCATTATACTGCTTATTTAATAGGAATTTATAATTTGGATGACAATTCTTCCCCATACATAGGGCATCTTGAAATATTATGTAAGATATGATGTTTTCAGAGCAGTGACTGTGAAGAAAGCAGTCTTCTGGGATGTGGTGCCATGTAAATATTGTGTTAACCGATGTTTTGGAGGAGTGTATCGCCTCCATCTTCAGGGTAGAAGAAAAAAGAGGAAACCGTGAGCTGAGAACCAGCATGAGCATGTGCTCTGAAACATTGGTTAACACAATATCTACACGGTGCCACATCCCAGAAGATTGCTTTCTTTATCTTGAAATATTGATGAGCTTGATGCCAACTATGATGGCACCAGCATCAGGTTTTGGTTACCGGGTGGAACAGAGCTCTCAAGATTGTCAGTCAGGTCCCCAGGAACTGCCCCCCTCAGGTTCCAGACTCAGTACCTGGTATGTACAGCAACATGGTCACACCACCCTGTGACACAGTTGTTACTGTGCTGACAGTCGGTTTGTGGTAATTTGAAATGTTTCTGCGATAGGTGTTGCAGGGGCACAATTACATGGTGCTGGGCTAAGCAACATCCCGTCCCTTCCTGCTGAAATTAATGTAGCTGAGCTATTTCAGAGGCTGGTGGCAGCGGGAATTGTTCCACAAGCCGGAAAATCTGATGCAGATAGTAAGGAGGAGGAAGAAGCAAAGTCTATAAAGGCCGTGGACTTCGGGCAGCCTGAAACATTGAAATTGTAAGTATTTACCATTTAAACTTCTGTCCTCATTTTGAAACAGTTATGTTGCTGAACCACCGATTTGCAGTAGACTTAAATTGTTAATAAGCATCAGTTTCTGAATTCTGCTTACTTGATTGGTTTTGTATTATTATTAACTCTGTTGTTATTGTCTTACTTCTAGACGTCAGCCTGGTGCAGTGGCTATCCTGTTCTCTGGTATTCAGTGTAGTTCCTGCGGGATACGTTTCCCTCCAGGACAGACTGTGAAGTACAGGAAACATTTAGATTGGCATTTCTGGCAAAACAGGCGTGACAAGGACAATGCTCACAAAGCTCAGAGTAGAGAGTGGTATTATGATGCTTCAGATTGGATCCGGTTTGAAGAAATTGAAGACACTGAGGAAAGAGGTATGATATGCAATTTGTATCTAATGGATTGGAGGATGGGGTGAAGGTTTCCAGGTCATGAAGCCAAAAAAAAATAGGCGTTTTTATTCAGCTTAGAGCCTCTCCGTGCTCCCAATATATCTTAATGGTGTGTTGTTCATGGAAAGTGGTAACATAGCAAGCTACAAGTCCTTGATTTATGCAACATTTGCGTTCAAAAAAAAAGTTGTAGTAGGGGTGATATAACATAAATTGAAAACAGTTTCCTTATAAGAATAAATGAAAATGTCTGAGACATGCAAAGGTACGAGATACTCTTGGTCAACAAGATTGATTGTCTTGTGCTGTGTAATACATGCTCTTTCTTATAGTAATAGCATTTCTAGTTGCAGTATGAATAAGCTATGTTTATAGTTACTGACTTCAAAAAAGAAAGAATTCTAGACATTGCAGAGAAATAGGATGACATAATGTGCTCTAAATAAGTGCAAAAAAACCTGCACCACTCGCCCATTTGTCCTGAGGCATAGTCCTCTCTCCCCCCCACCCCCACCCCCTCCAAGAAAAATAATAATGTATTTTTAAGCACTGTTAAACAATTTTTATATGGCAGAAACAGGTTATATTAATAATAAAATAACATTTAACGTTCACTGTTATCATAGTAGATGGCCTGTTAAATGCATAGGTGGGTGCTCTTACGGGTGAATCATTGAGGTATATGGAGAGAAGTTCGCTTTTGTTGTTGTTGATGATGATGCAAGTTATTGCATTGGTAGAGAAGGGGATTGAATTGATTGGAGCAATCAGCAATGTCAAGTTTTGCATTTGTGATCACTGGTGAATCTGCTGGCCATGATTTCTTTTACAAAAACATCATCCAGCTTCTGTTGCTTCCTAGCCTCTGATTTGTGGTGGGTACAGATCAACTAAAAGTAGTTTAATAAATGAATCATTCAAACTGTTGATTACTTTACTTTCATTTCAGTTGAATGATACATTCCATGCTTGTGCTTCACTTCTGAAATGCCTGTAACTGACAGAACTAGTTTTTATGGTGACCTTTATTAGAAAAGTCATGAGTACCAGTTTAAACAGTAATTTCAGCAGAAAGTAGGTTGTGTAAAAGAGAACACTTTGAGTCTTCTGGGTTGTAACACTGCAGTTTAGGGAAAGCTCAGTGTTTTAGAGGAACACACTGCTCTCCGTCTTCTGGGTTGAAGAGTGAGTCATGCAAGAAAGCAACAGCTGAGTTTGCTGCCTGCTTATGCTTGTTTCTTGCTTTGATCCTGAAGCTGGAAGCCTTATGTTCTTCTGAAACAAACCATAAGATCACAGTTTTCATAAAGAGTCCTATCTTTTGGGAGGCAAGTATACCATGTAGTCCATCGAAAGTCAACCCACTTTCTGGAAGAATGTGTTGCCTCCATCTTCAGGGTCAGAAAATAAAGCAAGAAAGAAGCAAGCATGAATCAGTTAGAGCTGTTTGCTACCCTCTTCGTGCTGGTTTCTGTTCTTTGTTATCAGTGACATCTAGGTTTAAACCACATTATCACATTACCAGCACTGAGTGCTGACCATAGCAGTAAGGAGCTGCAGCTGAAGATAGAGAATTTAACACTGTCTGTGCAAGTGATGACTGTTAAGATGAGAGGAAGATGCACTAAAAGAAAATGATGGAACATGCATCAACTTGCATTATTACATATCAGAAAGTATTATAATGTTGGCATGTAATTCTTTATTTTCAGCACAAAGCTGGTTTGAAACCCAGCAGGCTGTGGAAGCTGAAGAAAAAGAGATACAAAAAGTTCCCAGTGTTTGCGCTGGAGAAAATCCTGAGGACGCATTTTGTGCTGTATGCCATGATAAATTTGAACAATTTTTTCACGATGACGAAGAAGAGTGGCACTTACGTTCAGCATTGAGGGTAGATGGAAAAACATATCACCCTCTTTGCTATGATGATTACAAGGTTAGCATATTCATTATAATGTTACACTTACTTTTAAAGACTTTATTCTATTGCCTTTAAATTCACATATAAATGTTGAGGTAATATAATATGCCCCAAACTGGATTAACCTATAAATAATTCAATGTCAATTTATATATGGAATTCTGTGTCAATTCTGATATTGGATCTTTCATTAGTTTAGTAGTTTTGAAATTGGGAAATAATTAAATTCACCCTTAATCTTCATCCATCAGATTAAATCTTCTGCTACTATGGTGTTGGTGACTTGATTTATACATTGCCATAATTGACTTTTATGAGTCAGGATAAGACAGTGTAGCAACTAGCTACAGGCTAGAGTTTGAGTCTCAATAAGGGCAAGATTTTTCTCCAGCATATTGTCCAGACTGGCTCTGGGGCCCAACGAACCTCCTATCGACTGGGTACTGGGGGCTCTTTATCCCTGGGTGTGAAATGCCCAGGGCATGAAGCTGACCACTGACCAGTAATTAGTACTGAGATTAAGATATGTGGATCTGTACATAACATACACTCCCCAATACCTTTTTGTGGTGTAGCACTTAATTAGTTAAGAACAGGACTGATTTACCATTTTATCAAAGTAATTGAATTTATATTGTAAAAAGTTTAGCACTAGACCACCTGAACCAGAGCATATTCTGGCAGATTGTGTGATGCCCTTATGATAAAAGTTAAACAGTGTATTTGGCCTTTATTTATATTGTAAATTGCACTAGACCTCCTGAACCAGTGCATGTTCTGGCAGATTGTGTGATGCCCTTATGATAAAAGTTAAACAGTGTATTTGGCCTTTATTTATATTGTAAATTGCACTAGACCTCCTGAACCAGTGCATGTTCTGGCAGATTGTGTGATGCCCTTGTAGTAAAGGTTAAAGAGTATATTTGGCCTTTATTTATATTATAAATTATTGTACTTACATATGTAACTTAAATGTAACCTTTACATGCATCACATTTTGCAGTGGCAAATGTATGTGGTCCACCTGGCTAAGCTTTGCATTTTTCACTACTAATACCATTACTCTCGATTAGAGGTATTCCTAGATGATAATCTTTTACACTCAAAGTAGAATACCATAGTACTTGAAGAGTTTAGAATCGCTGTTCTGGTCATATAAGGTTCATATAATGTAATTACAGAAATGGATTCATTATCATAGAATCTTGGAACATACTGACATTTGCACACAGGTGGGGGTGGCAGTAGTAATTGTTATTTTGTGTGTTCCCCCCTCCCCCCATGTTCACAGTAAAGTTACAAAAGTGTGCCCATTAGCTTCACATTATCTCTCTCCTCCTGCTGCTTGCAGTGCATGTAGTGGCTCAAGGGTTGTTAAATTTCTTTTATTTAATATTAGGTAATTTCACTAAAGTTTGTGTACAAATTCGAATTTTGGCTTTACACTAAGATATACATTTGTTGACAGGAATTAAGGAAAATTAAATACATATTTTGTGCCCAGCATATATAATTAAAAGTTACTTTTATGCTGTCACCTCAGCTAAGAATCACTGAACTGATTTTACATTGGAAGCTCTTGCATTAATGAATAGAAAATCTAGACGCAGTAAGGGGTTGAACATAGAATTGTTGTGCTATGCATGCATTTGTTTAGGATTTCTGAGTGTCATGAATTCTAGTTCAAATTTCTGGTTTTATGAATTTTTGTTCAGTACAAATTATTTATAAATTTCAGTGATTAAAGGTCTGAAATTAGTTCTGATACAGGCTCCAGTATTCTAATAAAGATTTAGAGGAACTGTTCTGTTATTTATGATCATGGCATATAATGTAGTATAAATGGACATACTGTCGCTTCCCTCCATCCCCCTCAAGAAATGGGGTCCACATCATGTTCAGGGATGCAGAATTATTTGAGAAAATACAGTTGCTGGTTAAATCAGTCACAACTTAGGTACAGCCAGTTCTAAAGAAATTTTTAATGTTTCCAATATACTTTCATATTATTTTGGCATTTTTTTTTATGGTGTAACACAGATATGTTGCTGTCTCATCACCAGAATGCAGCGCAAAATCGTGACATAAAGATAGCTAACAGATGTTTAAAAAATGTGGCACTGTTCAGATAATTGGGAATGACTACCAAACCAAAACCTGATTCAGGAGGAAATTAAGAGGAGACTGGATTCTGGTAATGCTTGCTACCATTTGGTCCAGAATCTTTCATCTTCTCATCTGCTATCTAAAAACGTAAAAATTAGAATATACAAAACTATAATTTTGCCCGTGGTTCTGTATATGTGTGAAACTCAGTCTCAGACATTAAGAGAGGAACATAGACTCAATGTGTTTAAGAAAGTTGTCCCTGTGCTTAGCTAATTAAGCACTATGCCTTGAAGGTATGTGGGGGATTGGATGTATAGATCCACTAGCTGGAGGTGAGTGGTCAGTTTCATGCCCCTGTTCCTTTACCCCCAGGGAAAGAGCCCCTGGTACCAATTGGATAGGAGTTTAAGTGGACCCCAGAGCTGGTCTGGCTGACATGGAGAAGTGAAATCCCCACTAGGACTCAAACTCTGACCCCTTAGTCATCCAGCCCGTAGCCAGTCTCTATACCAACTACACTATCCTGGCTCTGTAGGAATGGGGTGCTGAGGAGAATCTTTGATCGAAGGGAGACAAAGTGATAGGATGTTGGCAAAACTGCATAATGGGGGGCTTCATAACTTGTACTCTTCGCCAAGTATAATTAGAATGATAAAGTCATGGTGGATGAGATTGGTGGGGCTTGTAGCACGAATGGGGCAAAGACAAATGCATATAGGATATTGGTGGGAAAGCCAGAAGGAAAGAGACCACTAGGAAGACCAAGATGTCGGTGGGTGGACTATATTAAAATGAATCTTGGAGATAGGTTGGGATTGATCTGGCTCAGGATAGGGACCAGTGAAGAGCTCTTATGAACAGGGTAATGAACCTTCAGGTTCCAT